TACATATCTAGAAAGATGATTGAAAGTATCAAATATGAGGTATGTGGATCACTTAAGATTTTGGAAAAACATTTCGGGCTATTCAATGTTAGCTTTAAGAAGGCATTCATTTTATATTTGAAATAAATACAATACCAGGAGGAAGAATTATTTTTCTGTGCATTACCGTGATGGCTTTGTTTTTCTTCTCGGACTGTGTGTCAGGGTTATTATAAGCTCTTATTGCCTCTCTCATGAATATTCTCTCTGTAAAGAATCTGTTGTTTATGTTGTGAGAGTTTTGAATCACTGGAAACAATTATTCAGCAATGCTTTAACATAAAGGAGAATAATTCTGTCTGCCAGTCATTCTGATGTGATAAGTAATAAAAATCATTTACTTCTTAGTAATTGTTTAGTAAAACTGAGAGTGAGAGCACAGACCCTTTTTCCTGAAATCTAGTGCTTTAATATCTTTAGTGAATGGATGAGAGAATTGGGTGAAAAGTCTTTGCCAATTTCCAAGTGTCAAAACAGTTCTGTACTGTGTTTTTGTTGTTTATAGCATGCCTCTGTTGTTGTTATATCCTTTTGTTACTGTTTATTTATTAATAAATTTATATTTTATTTTCATATATATTTTACTAATTTCCTTTTATCTCTCACACTTCCATTATAGAGAAAGGGCAAATAGCAATATTAAAATATCTCCGCTAATTAATTCCCTTTTTAAAAAAAAATATTTTATTGATTTTTTACAGAGAGGAAGGGAGAGGGATAGAGTTAGAAACATCAATGAGAGAGAAACATCGATCAGCTGCCTCCTGCACACTCCCCACTGGGGATGTGCCCACAACCAAGGTACATGCCCTTGACCGGAATCGAACCTGGGACCCTTGAGTCTGCAGGCCGATGCTCTATCCACTAAGCCAAACAGGTTAGGGCAATTAATTCCCTTTTAATGTGCACGAATTTCGTGCACCCGGCTACTAGTTTAATATAAATGAGAAACAGAATTCATAGCTTTATGAAATAAAACAAAAATTAAATTTATCTGTCTTTATGGCTTAAATCATAAGATATAAGGTTGTTTTTTTATTTTTGGGTTAATAATTTATTCTGTTTGGGGAAGGTAAAGTGGAAAGACCTGCACACCACAGAGTTGAGTAAGACTTTAAAAAGCCCCTGTGTGAACACTGCATTCTTTGGCAAGACAGAACCTGGCTTTATTCTCCCAGCACAGAAGGCGCACATTCTACAGAGCGGAGCAAGGAAAGGTTATTTATTTTAAAGGAAGTTCACAATGAAAATTAATTAAACCCTGACAGTAACTGCAAATGTCAAAATACAAATTTCCTCCAGTGACCATTTTTTAACCATTTGGGTAAAAGGAAAAAAAAAAGAAAGAAACTGTTCAATATTTATTCTTCTCTTGGCTGTGTGAGCTAAGCCATTTAAACGGCCATTGTTGTTAACACATTCTATTAGAATATAAATATTTCACTTCTAAAAAGTAAAACAAGCTATTTGCAAAGAGATTTCATATTTAAGGAACAAAGGGATGTGACTCAGAGAACACAGGGATTTTTATGCATCCCGGCAATGCTTTCGAAAGGCTTTTATTCTGAAGCCTCGCTGAATAGAGACAAGGTGAGCTTCTACCCCTCCCTTTACTCATTTTCTCATCCATCACTCAGAACTGTATCTTAGAAAAGAAAGGTGGGGCGACAAGATTTCTTAAATTCAAGCCCATGTCCAGTGAAGGTATGCAAAAGGCGAGGGCAAACAAAAGTACCCCCAGCAAGTCTTAAATCCTTCAGCCTGATTTCTAGAAAATACCAGGCACTAAAGAAAAGAACTGCTGAGTTTCAGTGTGATAAGGTGACATGGATTATGTGACTGTGTGAATGGCCCTTCGCCAAGACAAAATCATGTTTAAGACACTAACTTCTGACTTTTCTGCCCTAGAATGAATGCAGACGGTGGTAGCGACAGAGAGGCCTTACACTATTTGTAATTGTGCACAAACAACCACAGTAAAACCTGTGCCAGGCTGCCATTTAGGCTCAGGGGCGTACTACATGGTCAAGGGGCATAAGCCTGGGCTTGGAAATGGCTACAACTTTACAGAAGTAATTTTTCCAGCCCTGGATACAGTACTTCTTAGAAATGTGTCAAGTTTCTATTAGCCAGAATTTCCAAAGTCCATTTAATTATGTGGGTCTCCCAACTGTGGCTACAGCCCGCTGGGTTGAATCTCTGTCATTCTTCCAGACTCTCATTCCTAGAATTCTTTGGTTTCCAACATGTCACCAGCATGACCACAATTGTTGAATAGTTCCCTACTTCTTATTTCTTAAAAAATCCGTCCATTTTCTAAGTTTTTTTTTTTAATCTATCACTTCCTTCATGCCTCTCTTAACTTCTTCCTGTATTTATATAAGTTTCTATGCCCCCCTTCCGTCCCCCACTCTGAGTCATACCAACCTCCTGGCCTCCACCTTTGTGGGTTTTCTCATGTATATCATCTCATTCCACAATCCAATTTCCATAACTCAATTACAATCTAATATAAACTTCACTTGCTCATATTTTTGTTCTCTGCTTCCTCTGCCCCCCACTGATACGCCCTCTCTTCTGAAATCCTAATGTGCTTACAGCTATAAGTATACAGTGCATTACATAACGATTGTTGTCATTTCTAATGTATCTGTTTTCCCCTTGGGGAAAGTACTGGGTCTTCTTTGTTTAGCAGTAAGGTAAAGACTTCTAATACAATGAGTAGGTACCCAGATTCTGAGGTTGGAACAACTCCAAATGGAAGTCATTTCATTTGTGTGCCCTTGAACAATTTATCTGACCTCTATGACTCTCCCTTTTTTTAACAATAAAATCTCAATTACAATGTATCTGTTTTCCCCTTGGGGAAAGTACTGGGTCTTCTTTGTTTAGCAGTAAGGTAAAGACTTCTAATACAATGAGTAGGTACCCAGATTCTGAGGTTGGAACAACTCCAAATGGAAGTCATTTCATTTGTGTGCCCTTGAACAATTTATCTGACCTCTATGACTCTCCCTTTTTTTAACAATAAAATGGACAATACAATAATCAATCAAAACATCCTGAAAATAAAATGAGAAAACATAAATTCATCGTAGTGTAGAGCATAGTAAGCTTTCATCAAACTTTACCATGTTAAGCCTGTTATTAATAATAAAATAGCCCAGCCAGTGTGTCACAATGGTTGAGAGCCAACCCATGAGCCAGGAGGTCACAGTTTAATTCCTGGTCAGGGCACATGCCTGGGTTGCGGGCTCAATCCCCAGTAGGGGAGTGCAGGAGGCAGCCAATGGATGATTGTCTCTCATCATTGATGTTTCTCTATCCCTCTCTTCCTCCTCTAAAACAGTAGTTTTCAACCTGTGGGTCACGACCCCTTTGGCAGTCGAACGACCCTTTCACAGGGGTCACCTAAGACCATCCTGCATATCAGATATTTACATTATGATTCATAACAGTAGCAACATTACAATTATGAAGTAGCAACGAAAATAATTTTATGGTTGGGTCACAACATGAGGAACTGTATTTAAAGGGCCAGAAGTTTGAGAACCACTACTCTAAAATTAATAAAAATATATTAAAAATAATAATGAAATAGCAGTTCAATAAAATGAGAAAAAAAATAGAGCATTCAGTGACACTTTAGAAAAGATAATTTACTATTTATTTTTTCTTTTTTTTAAATTTATAGCTATTTAAAATCTATATGAGGGACAGAGAGTGTACTACAGTGGTTGACTACTTGTTGATAAATACTGCAGGGCCAGCTATAACCCTATTCTCACAAGGCCCATTACAAACAAGGTAAAATACCTGTACTGATATAAAACAGCTAAGTTTAATCCTCAGGATAACATTGTAGTGTCTGAGAAAACTCTTGAAAAGAATTGGGAATAAAGAAGAAGTAAATAAAAAATTTCATTCATTTTAAAATAATTAAAAAATTATCACAATTTATATGAACTTAAATTAAACTGAATCAGGATTTAGTTCAAGTACAAAAGATTATCAGGGTCCAAAATTCAATTTTGCTTCTCTGCCTTTACTGCTATTTGAACATGCAACGTTCCTATTCTGTGGATGCCTTTGGCAGTGACACCTATAGATTGTGAGAATGTTGGGCGGTTTAACTTTGCAAAACATGAAATGTGTCTATTTTCCAGTAAGATATCACTCTGTGGGGTTGTGAATCCTCTTCTAACACCCTGGTTACAGCTTATGACACCCTCGATGTCACTGAGCCTCCTTTCCAAAGTCATCTGTTTCCATAAAAAACATAAATTCCTTTGGGAGGGGGGAAGATGCAGAGCAAGGAAAACTTTACTGAAATCTGTGTCCTCACCACCTGCTGGTGGCGTATCTGTACCCTTCCACCATCCTAACCTCATTTCCCTTCTTTCCCAGTCTGAACCCAGTTATTTATATATATATATTCTAGTTTCAATTTTCTTATCCCCTTGAATTCTGCTGCAAATCTATTTTTATCACATACACACAATCTATAATGCTTTATGTATATCATTGTTATTGTACTCAACTATATCTAGTTGCTGTTTCTGTAGCAACAGGTTTCACTCATTTTGATTATACATAACTCAATATAATTAAAATTATGTAGCTATGGAAATCAGCCATTCAGATAGCTTTGAGAGAGATCATAATTTGATTTACCAATTTCTTTGTAAAAGTAATATGCTTATATGATACATAGAGAAGATTCCTAAGGTAAGAGAGTATAAAGTGGATTCTAAAATTATTCATTGACAGTTTATAAGAAAATGCCATGTTTACCAACATCTCTAGAATGACACTCCTACAACTTTCTAATTGTATATTATTTGATTTTCCCCTACCACTTGTATTTTAGCACCTGACACTCAAAAAACCTTGAGGTTTTACTAATGCGACAGATATTTCAAACCATTATAAGTACTGCACATCATTTCCCACATAATTACCTGGTGAAGTCTGTCATCTCCATCATGATCATACACATCTTCTTGGCCAGAACAATAATATCATTGCTTGTATCATCCCATATTTCAATCTCAGCATCCAGCTTACTCTTTACTTTCTTGAAATCAGCAACTTGCTCAGCAATCTTTTCCTTCTCTGCCTCAGGCAGTTGAGTCATCTTAGCCTAAAACATATGATAATTAGATTTGTAATTATTTCATTATGTCAAAAAGGATTTTAGGAAGAACTGGTCATTAAAGAGTGTTCATTAAATTTGTTCATTTAAAAACAGACATGTCATACATACTTTTTTGGCTCAGAATTCTTCTTTAAAATTTTAATTTATTGGAGAGAGAGAGAGAGAGAGAGAGAAAGAGAAGAGGAGAGAGAGAAGAGAGAGAGAGAGAGAGAGAAGAGAGAAGAGAGAAGAGAGAAGAGAGAAGAGAGAAGAGAGAAGAGAGAAGAGAGAAAAGAGAAACATCAATTTGTCTTTCCACTTATTTATGCATTCATGCATTTCACTGGTTGATTCTTCTTTGTCACCTGACCAGGAATCGAACCAGCAACCCTGGCCTATCAGGATGATACTCTAACCAACTGAGCTACCAGGCCAGGATGGCATACTTTTCTTTTTGAAAGTCATAGGATCAAAACTTTCTAGGTTTAATTTTTTATACAAAAAATATATTGAATTCTAATTTTTTGCTCTAGAACTACAATGTTAAATTTGAGAATAACAATGTATAATTATGTGTCTGACATTTTTAAATATATTCCTTAATATAAAAGTCAAACTTCTCAAATATCTAACATTAAAAAATTAAACTAATACCAACTTATGTAATGCATTGCATAGTTGAAAACCATATAGCCCTGGCCAGGGGGCTCAATTGATGCATCATCTCATACACTAAGCGGTTGCTGGTTCGATTCCCATTCAGGGCACATACCCAGGTTGCAGGTTCAATCTCTGGTTGGGGCACATATGGGAGGCAACCAATTGATGTTTTTCTCTTACATCAATGTTTCTCTGATCTCTCTCTCTCTCTGTCTCTCTTTCTCTCTCTTCATCCTTCAAAAAGTAGAAATATAACAAAATTTATCTTGAAATGAGATTATGTCTATGTATGTATATATAGTCATATTCTTACATAAATACTGACTATATATTGGTAAACAGTTAACAATATACATTTATAAATAATATGTATATTAAAAAGCATATATATATGTATATATATATATATAAATCATAAGAATGTATGTATATTTTGTGCACATAAGCACATTCAGGTTTATATTTAGATACAAATTATTTTGGAAGAATAGTAAAATGTTATCAGCAGGGTTTACTAGTATTAATAAAGCCCTCCCTAATTAACATTCTGATTGTTGAGATGCTATTCTCTCATGCACAGTACACTTAATGTGTTGGCATAGAATCAATTATTTGGATATGTTGTATATTGAACAGTATGCAACTTGCGTCATCCACTTGCGATTTAAAATGTGGGATAGGTAGAAAACCATCTGCGTCCCTAAACTACCATATGCACAACCTTAGCACCTGAGACCTATAACTTTTTGTTAAGCTAATAAAAACTTGAAGGAAAAGTAATTTGATAATATCAGTATCAGAAAATTCCATATGGCAATCTATGCAATGAAATTTTCAAAAAATAATCCATAAATATTATAATAGTAGAATGAGTCCATAGGTATGAGAGGTAAGTGGAATTTATTTATTGATTATTCATACAGAATATGTGATGTCTACTATGGCTATTGATTTCCAGATGCTAGTCTATGGGACACCTACATATGGGGAAATAAGAAGAGATCATTTCAAAAGGGCTTTGAAATATTCTGGATACCAGGTTCAGAATACTGAACACTTTATTGAATCAATACTGCACAGGGCAAAAAAAAATGCTTCAATATATGAATGAAGAATTTACAAGAATGGTCCATGAAAAATCCAACCAAAAATACAATTAAAAAACTAATATAAAATATCTGACATTTATTCTCTATTCATTATAAATCTAACTCAGGGTCTAAAATAACTCTAAATTTACTATAGTTATTTATAAAGGGTATCTATCCAATCTCAGGATTAATTATCCATGCTTAAATTTTAACCTATTAAAGAAAATAAACTACAAGGCTTTCTGATTAAAAGTTGCTTTTAAATTCCTTAGTATACTGAGTATTTCCTATTCAGTAAGAGAATTATCAAAATATATTTACCTACGTAGCACTTAAAATTTGCTTTTGTTTCATTTTTATTTTATTTGAAGAATTAAACTATGAGACTAGGTTTTTAATGAGGCTCTGCCTTAGGATCCAAAAATAGTTCATAGTTTCCTTCCTTGGGAAATGGGGCCTATGAGATATGTTACAAGAAGAGCAACTTTTCCTGCTACTGGCATATGGCAGGGTATGCAAATGAAGACACAACTCACGTATGTTTGAAATTAACAGCATGCAAGCACATTAAGTAAATTATAAGCTATCAATACATTAAACTAGCTCGACGATAGAAATGAATTTTCTCCATCTTGACCACAGATAATGACCACTGTCATTATCTCCATTTTCATAAATGTTTTTAAACTTTGAAATAATAATAGCTGTAGGTAGATTCTACTGGGGCCTCTTTTTTATAGTCTTTACCTCAGAGATAATAAATGCATGACCCTGGATCTAATAAATAATTTTGAAGTGCACACCAGTATATCATGAACAATTATTCACTATCCTCATAATAAAGTTAAAACTATTTAAGAAGTGATCTAAGTGTATTTCTAGTTCTATTCCTTGGAATGCCACTGATTTCCAATGTGACCTTGAAGAAGTCACTTACCCATCTTCTCTGAGTTTCCCTAGACACAAAAATAACAATAGTGTCAGCTGCCACCCACCAGCCATGCAGGGAACAGTTTCAATTATTGGGTAACATTGACACTGACCTTGTCGTGAACAGGAATGTCATCAATTGCACTAGATTTCCTTAATAACATCTCAATTTACATGGTGGACTACAACTGGCAGAGGTTTACTTTTGACAAGATAAGGGCCAAAAGTTGGGCAATAGTTTACAAAATTAAAAGTTCTAGTAAATTCTGACTCTTTCTCACAGAAGGAACAACAATAAAGCATTAAGTTAATGACTGACACCTTTACTGAAGTGTTTAGTGCTTCTATGAATGATTTGTTGTATGCTATCAATCAATTTCAATAATTATGAAAATTTAAAAATAGCACTTAGGAGAATATTTATAATTTAGGAATTGAGGGTGAAAGTTCCTTATTGGGCTATTTTATGTAGGATGAGCAAAGAAACTGATGTACAAAGGCTTAGATCAATCAGGTAAGTGGACTATCCAATGTTATGACTGCTTGACTATATATCTCAGTTCCTGCTCAAATCTAAAAGTAGAACTCTGACTTAAACATCTATCAAAGGTTTTTGAATTACTGCCATTTAAAGGAGATTATATTGTATGTCAATTGATTTTTGGTGTATTTTGCCAAAGACAATGAAAACAGATAATGTTTATATATATGCCAACCACTCTTCTATGCAATTTACATCTATTTAAACTTTAATCTTCATAGCAACTCTGTGAGGTAAGGATATTATTATCCTAAATTTATAGATTATGAAACTGAGTCTCCAAAGGTTAAGTTATCTTTTCAAGAGTATAGTGTTAGTATACACTGTGCTCATGGATCAGAAGAATTAATATTGTTAAAATGTCCATATTACCCAAAGCAATCTTCAGATTCAATGCAATCCCTATCAAAATACCAACTGAACTTTTCATAGATCCAGAACCAATATCCTAAACTTATATGAACTCAAACAGTCAAAGCAATCTTAAGAAGAACAAAGCTGGAGTTATTAAACTCACAGACTTCAAACTATACTACAGAACTATAGTAATGCAGTGTGGTACTGGCCAAAACAAAAACAAACACAGAAATAAAACAATAACAAAAAACCGGATGTATGTATCAATGGAAGAGAATAGAGGCCAGAAACAAAACCCAGGCTTATATGGTCAATTAATCTATGACAAAGGAGTCAAGAATATACAATGGAGAAAAGAGAGTCTCTTCAATAAACAGTGTTAGGAACATTGGCAGATACATGCAAAAATAAATAAATAAAACCACTTTCTTACATTATATACATAAATAAACTCATAATGGATTAAAGACTTAAATTTAAGACATGAAACCATAAAACTCCAAGAAGAAAACATTGGCAGTAATTACTTAACATCAGTCTTAACAATATTGTCATGGATATGGCTCTGCAGGCAAGGGCAACAAAAGGAAAAATAAACTAAAGGGATTTCATCAAACTAAAAGCTTTCGCACAGTGAAAAATCATCAACAAAAGAAAAGGGCAACCTACTAAATGGGAGATGATATTTGCAAATGATATATCCAATAAGGAGTCAATATCCAAAATATATACAGGACTTACACAATTCAATATTAAAAGCATACACAAAAACTAAAAATAAAATACAAACATACACAAACAATCCAATTTAAAATTGGGCAAATGGTCTGAATAGACATTTTTCTGAAGAAGATATACACAGATAGCCAAGAGACTCATGAATAGATGCTCAACACTGCTAATCATTATGGAAATGCAAATCAAATCCAGACTGAGATAATATCACTTCAAACCTGCCAGAATGGCTATTATAAAAAGACAACAAATATCAAGTGTTAGCAAGGATGTGGAGAAAAGGGAACGCTTGGGCACTGTTGGTGAAATTACAAATTGGTGCAGCCACTATAGAAAAGAGTATGGAGGTTTCTCAAATAATTAAAAACAGAACTACCATATGATCCAGCAATTGCACCTCTGAAATCAAAAATACTAATTCATAGAGATATATGCATCCCTGTGTTCACTGCAGAATTATTTACAACAGCTGAGATATAAAAATAACATAACTGTTCATCGATAGATCAATGGAACACACACACACACACACACACACACACACACACACACACACACTGGAATCACTAGAATATTACTTAGCCATAAAAATAATGAAATCTTGCCATTTGCAACAACTTTGATGGGCCTAGAGGATATTATGTTAAGTAAGTCAGAGAAAGACAAATATATTATTTCATTTACATGTGGAA